CCTTTCTCTCTGTCTCTCTCTCTCACTGTCCACTCTGCCTGAAAAATTAAAAAAATAAAAAAAAAGAAGGCTGAAAAGAGACAAAAATGGCATTGAGGGACAAGCAGCTTCTCAGAAGCTAAGCAAGAGGTAACATCAGTGAAAGCAAGAAGTAGGGGCCAGATTCTGCATTAAAAAAAAAAAAAAAAAAAAAAGAAGCAGCAGCCAGCTCCACTCAGGGCGTGGTCAGAGGCCACGTGGCTGGGGAGCCTGCAGAACCAGAGCTGCGTTCTCGTTGTTTGCATGCTAGCATCAATGACCTTTAAATGAAAACCTTGTACTGCAGATGGAATGCGTTTTACAGACTTATCTGAGCGTTTGGGTCGTTGGTTTTATTTCAAGGAACAACAATCCAAGACAGAGAGTTAAAGCTATTGTCTCTGGTCTGCTGGATTCGGTGTTGGGTTCATGAATGACCTCCTGCTAAGTCCTTGTCTGTCTCCTTTGCTCTCCTGCCCTCTTAAAGCCCCAACACTCCTGGAAGCCCAGGGTGGCAACTCAGTTGATGGATTCTAGGGGCTACTGTCAGAGAGGAAGGAACAAAGGCAAACCAAAATACAGGGATCACATTTCTGGGTGAAAACTGTGCACTTTATAAAAATGGCACTTGGGGAGAGATTTTTAAAAGTATATTCTCACTGATTTTCTAATGTCATTTACACACCACAAGTCACTACTGCTTTAAGACACAAAACACGTTTTATTTTAGTATGTCAGACTTCCCTAGAGAAAGCTTTTCTGCCTCTTTGAGTTGGGCCTGGCATCCTTGTGTTTGTATCTTCAGCCCCAGTGCAAGTCTAACATTGACAGTTCCTTGGGTTCCCACAGAGGGGCAGCAGAGCAAGGGGTCTGAGAGCGGGGGAGGGCAGGCTCTGGTCCCAGGCCCTGGGTGTTTTCTGACTCACCCTGGCAGACTAACCACAGGGATGTCAGGCCTCAGTTCACACTGCTCTGAGACGAAACCCCAGGGCCTCTGAAGCCAGTTCTTTCCTGCTTCTGGAAAGCGGCTGTGTTCTCTCATGCAGGCAGGGGGCGCTAGACCGGATATTCCCCAAGGTGCTTCTTCCACCTCCCACCATCCCCAATCCCCACCACCAAGGAAGTGCGGAGCGCAGCCTTGACAACGAGACCCCAGGAAATGTCCAGTTGTTTTCCAAGGAAGTTCTGTCCACAGAGAAGACAGAGAAGGCCGAGCTTTGGAGAGGTCAATTCAAGTGGTAGGGCAGGCTACCTGGTCCCTTTTTTTTTTTTTTTTTTTAAGATTTATTTGAAAGGTAGAATTACAGAGAGAAGGACACACACACACACACACCATCCACTGGTTTATTCTCCAAATGGCCACAATGGCCAGGGCTAGACCAGGCTGAAGCCAGGAACCTGGAACTCCATACGGGTCTCCCATGAAGGTGCAGGGGCCCAAGTACTTGGGCCACCTTCTGCTTTCTCAGGTGTATTAGCAGGAGTTGGATCAGAAGTGGAGCAGCCAGGACTCAAACTGGCGCTCTTATGGGATGCTGGTGCTGCAGGCAGTGGCTTAACCTGCTGAGCCACAGCATCGGCCACTGGTCCCAGTCATGAGTTCCAGTGAGGTGCTGGCCACTCCCCAGCTTTCATCTTCTGGGCAGTAGGGTGCAAATGCTAATAATGCACATCCTTATGGAATGTGGAGGCTTTTATAAGGAGAAGGAGTGCATCAGGGACTGTCTGGTCACGGAGTGCTAGAGCCAAGTCCATGGTGCTCATACTCAGCCCTCGTGTGCATTGAGAACCAAGTGAGTCGCTTGTTTTCACTTCGGAGCCTGTGATTGCAACCCCAGAGGATAGATTTAGCCACAAAGAATGCTTACCCTGGAGACGCAGATTTTTCTTCTTGGAAAGTGGGCACCAGGGCCTCAACCCCACAGTGTGCATAATGGAATACAATGTACCCCCTTGTAACCAGCATCTCACTTTAATAAGGATAACTGGCCACACTTTCCCTGAGGAGAGCAACAGAAATCCACACCATCTTTAGTTGACATGAGAATGTTCTCTCTTCAAAATTTTCCAGGGAGAGAGAGAGAGAAAAAGAGAGCGAGTGAGTGAGCACATTTATCTACTGGTTCACTCCCCAAGACTGGGATCCAGGAATTCAATCCAGATGTGGGTGGCAGGAACCTAATTACCTCAGCCATCACTGCTGCCTCCCAGGGCCTACATTAGCAGGAAGCTGAAGTCAGGAGGCAGAGCTGGGACCTGAATCTAGGACTCCAATCTCCAATGTCAGATGCAGGCATCTTAGCCAGTGTCTTAACCACTAGGCTGAACAATAGTCTCAAGAAAAAAAAATTTGGCCGGCGCCGCGGCTCAGTAGGCTAATCCTCCACCTAGCGGCGCTGGCACGCCGGGTTCTAGTCCCAGTTGGGGTGCCGGATTCTGTCTCGGTTGCCCCCCTTCCAGGCCAGCTCTCTGCTGTGGCCAGGGAGTGCAGTGGAGGATGGCCCAGGTGCTTGGGCCCTGCACCCCATGGGAGACCAGGAGAAGCACCTGGCTCCTGCCATCGGATCAGCGCGGTGCGCCGGCCACAGCAGCCATTGGAGGGTGAACCAACGGCAAAAAGGAAGACCTTTCTCTCTCTCTCTCTCTCTCTCTCTCACTGTCCACTCTGCCTGTCAAAAAAATTTAATTTATTTGGAGGGGGAGAGAGAGAGAGAGAGAGAGGACACTTTTAAATCTTCTGGTCATTCTCCAAATACCTTCAACAACCTGGAGCCTGGAACTCAATCCAGGTCTCCCACATGGGTGGAAGGTGTGCAAGTCCTTGGGCATCATTTTCTGTCCTCCAGGATACACATTAGCAGGAAGATGGACTGGAAGCAGAGGAGCTTGACTCAAACCAGGCTCTCTGATATAGGATGTGGATGTCCCAAGTGGTGTCTGATACCTGCCCCCCAGGAAATGTTTTAATCAGCCTTGTGACACTCCTATGGCTAAGTTCCAAAATAGGAAAGTACCAGGTGACTCCTATAAACTCATCTTTCGAACCTGTTGGGTATCAAGATCTGTCTTGATCTGGACACCAAGAAATCTCCAGGAGATTTTGCTTCTCTCTCTAACATCCAACAGGGGGCAGGGGTCACCATGCTAATTATAGCCAGAAGGCATATGGAGGACTTGTGGATCAGAGGGAGCTACCTGGCCAGCAAGGTCAAGGCCTTACTTCCCCAAGCAGGCCCTGGAGACACACTCTACACTCACACCTCTGTCTCCAGGCCTCCCTGTTCCTACCTCGTGTCCCTTTGGTCTTGCTTCTGTTCTTCCTCACTGCAGAGATACTGAGAGTCCTTTTCACTGGCCCAACACAAATCTGTGTAGCACACTATGAAGCAAGTGACCTCACTGGGGTTCCTAGGCTGAGAAACTGGCACTCAGGGAGCTTTGAGTTTGCTCAAGGTTAAGACTTGAACCTGGGGCTGCTGACCATTTAGCCAGGAATCCTGCGATCCTCCTTTGAAGCAGAACAGACTTCTGCAGGGACACGTGCAAAATCAGGTGGACAAAGCCGAGATCCATATGCTTAGACCAAGTCTTGTCAGAGCAACGGTGACAGCTCCGGGGTGCTGACTTACACCCCGAAGCAGGAAGAGGAGAGTGGAAGGGGGGGTTAAGTCATCAGACCAGGCTGCAAGTACACAAACAACTACTATGTGACCCCACACAGAGACAGGGCTCCTGACGCACGGCTAAGTCATTCTCCCTGAGTCCCTGTAGGAAATGAGCGATACAAGCATCAAGAAGGAATGTAAACTATGTCTTACGGAAGCGTGCTAGCATCTCTTCTTCCAAAGGGTTCCCCCTCTGGAGAGAATACAGACTCATCCTTTCTCCCTGCTCCTGAACTGTGGTTCTGCGGACCCCTGATGAGAAGAGGCAAGGGCAGGAGGGGCCGCCTGAGAGGTGAGAAGGAGGGAGGCGCAGAATCGAGATGCAGCAGTCTCGCCTCCCAGCTTGTGAAAGGCCCCTTCCCAATGTCGTGAATTTCATCCAACTCTCCCCTGGTGGCTCCCCTGCGGGTCACCCCATGTCGGCTTTCAAGAGAGTACCCGCCCCCCAACCCCCGTCTCATCCCACGGACCCCAGCACACACCCTTTCCCTCTCACCGTGGTCCACACCCAGGCAGAGGAGAGTGAGACGTCCGTGGTGCTGGGAAAGGCAAATAAAGCCTAACCTTAAAAGCCCTGTCCAGCAAGTTGAGAGCAGGCAGAGGAGGTGGGCTTCCGGCCCCAGCAGGAGGAGGAGGCTGGGCCAGAGAGCCCCGGAATGTAATGCTCTGGACACAAGTATGGCAGGCGCTGTGATCCTGATCAGCCAGGCAAGAGACCCTGGGACTGGGCAGGCGCCTCTGTCCTTGCTGATGGGCGGGGGGACGTGCAGCCCGGAAAGCCTGGCATTGCAGGACAACAGTGAGGATACGGCGGAGTTCCAGGGCTGGGGTGAAGTTCTGGAACCCTCCACAACTGACTGGCGCGCCCCCATCACCCCCCACTGTCCATTCTGGAAAAACAGGTTTTGCTCTTGCCCCTGTTGTTTGGAAGAAGGGGGAAGATTTTTGCCCCTGGCCACTGCTCGGTTACCTCAGGGGAAAGTGGGACATGGGAACCGCAGACTGGTTCTGAGGATTAGCGGGATGTGAAAGGCATGTAGCGTGAGGCTGGGGTGATGCCCGCGTGCAGCCTGGGTGCATCCTTCTGGGGTTCTCCTATGAAGTATGCACTTCCTTCTCCAGCTCTCCTTACCCCACCTTTAGCAGAAGTCTTGGGAAATAGCTATGCACATCTCCTTCTCAAAGAAACGGTGCCAGTGCACGGGAAGGTGGCAGAGTACAGAGCCTGCAAGGCCGTGCCCCATCAGCCCCCTGTCTCTATGCTCTCTTCTTGGGGGGACAGCGGGGTGTGGGGGAGTCAGACACACAGGTTCTTACCTTGAGAGGCAGAGCGGCAGGTGGGGCCGGGCAGCACTGGCTGGTCTGCACGGCGGGGCGGTATCTGTAGAGTCGTGCCCTTGTCGCCTGTCCTGCGGGACCCGAGCCTGAGCCATAACTCTTTGGGAGTCGCCCGCAGGTCTCAGCACTCTCCATCAGGGGAGACCTCTTGTCCATGCGGGCAGCGTGGGCCGTGGTAGCTTGCAGAACTGAGCACGCCCAGGCATCTCTGGAGTGGTGGTCCACGCCCCACAGTTCCTGGGGGGCAGAAAAGGCCGGCCAGTGTCTCCCGCCCGTGGAGCGATCGCTGTTTCCATGGTTCATGATGGGAGCTGGCCAACGAGGCCTGCATGACAGGGCCTGGAGCCCGCCTAGTTTCCTAGAGGTAGGGGCCCTGCAGTGCCTGCCACGCGGGGATGCACACACGCCGCCTCTTGTCACATCCAGACCCTGGAGCTTGTCCCCTGCCTCCTTCTCCCTCGCTGAGCAGCAGCGGAGAGCGGCTGGTTGCTCTGGGCCGGGCCCTGCCTTATGCAGCAGGCTCCACGGAGATGCAGCCAAGCCCTGTGTGCGCCTGAGGTCCCAGCCTGCCAAGCCTGTCCTGGGACTTGGGGGAATGTGTCCCTCCTCCAGGCCTCCTGGGGCTGCGGCAGCGGCTGGAGACTGGGCGGGGACAGCTGGTGCAGGGGGGGCCCGCAGCTGGATGAAGAGGAAGGAAGTTTCCATCTGCTGTGGCGGAGGCTGCTCGGCCATTTCCTCCACGGGGGCAGGGCTGCTGGTCCTTGCCAGGGTCGAGTTTCAGAGCTCAGTGCCCAGGCGGGCCCGCGGCGGCGGCTGTGGGCAGACGTGACTCAGCCCCATGTACCAGGACAGCCTGAGGAAGCAGAGGACACACCTTCAGCCCCGGGGAGGGGACCAGGGGAACTGGACTCTGCCCTCACCTCCCAGAACCACGCAAACAGGTCAGTGGAGACTCCTCTCCCAACGCCAAGCACCTGTGCACCCAAATGGAGTGACTTTGGCATAACTTTTCCCTCCCTGGTATTTGGAATGAAAAGGCCGTTGGTTTCACTGTTTAATTCTAAACTCTGTGTCAGTCGTGTTCATCATCTGAAGTCTAACGTGTGAGACACGAATGGTTTGCACTGCCCAGTTTTTAAAATTCCCTTTGCTTGTAGTACTTACATTGAATCTCACTTATATTATTATTTTCACCTAATCATTTTAAGACCTGTGATAAAAGGGGTGACAGTTGTCATGACTCTTTTTTTTTGTATTTGACACTGTTTTTTTTTTTTTTAATTTCAGTTGATGAATATAAGCATATGTAATTGGGATCATGATATACACAACACACTACAGAATCCGAAGTTATGGATGTCAACTCTGTCAGAAAAGATGAACTTCTCAGTTACCTGAATTTGGACAGTTAGTAGAAAACTATACAGCCTAAATATTTAAAAGGCCTTTTTAACCATGCCAAGTGGAAATTCTTCTCTTGGTAAGAGCCTAGAGCATTCTCAGACATGGATTACAGAGACACACAGATGCCTCTTTATTCGGAATCCAAACCAAGGGGCTTCCAAAAAAGACACATAAAGTGACAGTTCTACAAAATTCCCTTCAGGGAACAGCTCTGGCATTTTTGAGAACTTATACTCAAATCCAGCGGTTACTTTGGGGCTCTGCAGGCGCAGTCTCCTAGTGCTGTGGTTTGAATGGGCTCCCTCCAAAACCAAGAGCCGCTTGTGGCCTGTACCAGCAGGTGGCGCCTGTCAGGGGGTGAGACCCGGAGGGATGGGGTCCCCGCCCCCGTGAGAGGTTCCACGGGGTCTAGCAGCTCCCTCTAAGGCCCTGCCACCTTCCTCCAAGTGAGGAGGCAGCCACAGGCTCTCAGTGGATGCAGGTCTTGCCCTGCCCCCTCCCCACTCCCAGCCTCCAGAGCAGTGAGAAAGAAATGTCTGTTTTTGATAAATGACCCAGTGCGTGGCATCCTGTCACAGCCACACAAAATGGACCGAGACGCTTGGCATCACTCAACATAAAGATGAGAAAGAGAAAGACAAAAGAAGAGACGCGAAACAAGACAGACAGCTTTTTGGTAACAAACCAGACTGCGGGTTTTGCTTTGTGTGTTGTGTTTTTCTAGAATCATTCGGCCTTCTTAAGAGAAAGATGGCAGTCTGTTAGGGGGTCCTTTTCTTCTAGCTCATTATAACAGGTGACGGCAAAGCACACAGAGGCAAGAGAAAAGGAAGGAGACACACCGTCACCTGGAACCCCGTGGCGTCGCTGGCGCTCAGAGCGTCCCGGCGGGCTCCGTGGTCCACATCTTAGATGAGAGCCTTCCCCGGGCTTGCTGGCATTGCTCCTGAGCAGGGGAGCACACAGCGATGAGTGAGCCCTGGTCCTTACCGGAGTGAAACAAGTAGCTGAGAAGGAGCTGGGCGCTGGTCCTCTGAGACACGGCGGGCCGGGGTCACGTCACACCTCAGCTACCGGGGTCCTTCAAGTGCTGCTGCAAAGTGGAATTGAAAGAAAACTCTCAGGGTTGGCCTTGTGGTGCAGCTGGCTAAGTCTCTGCCCGTGGTGCTGGCATCCCATCTGAGCAGTGGTTTTAGTCCCGGCCGCTCCACTGCTAACGCACCTGGGAAAGGCAGTGGAAGATGGCCCCAGTGCTTGGGCCCCTGCACCCACACAAGTGACCCAGAAGGAGTTCCTGGCTTAGTCCGGCCTTTGCCTTTGCAGCCATCTGCAGAGTGAACCACTGAATGGAAGATCTTTCCCTTTCTCTGTCTCCCAGTCTCTCCCTCTCGCCCCCTGTAACTCCAAATAAATAAATAAATCATTTTTTAAAGAAGGAAAGTTTTCAAAACTATTGAAATCCATGCATATGAGGTATCTTCAAAATTTCGTGGGAATCTGGATTACAAAGCAACGGCACTGCATGGATTTCTAACTTCATTCACCAAAGTACACGTATCCTTTCATTGCATTTCCGCGAACTTTTTGAGGTGCCCTGTCCTTCCTCCCTAACTCACCCCTATTCTCTTGCATCAGCAGCACCCCAGTCGGGCTGCCTTCAGTGACACTCGGGATGGCAGACTGGGGTCCTACGTTGGCTTCCCCTTTGAAAAATCTTCACAGTTTTTTCACCCAAGGCTGTGGAGGCCCTGCCCACATTTTCAGACAGCTGGCAATGGACTCATCTGCTCCACCCTTAGAAATGTATTCAAAGCCAAGACCAAGGCTAGGTTACTCTTTCTTTCTCTCTCTCTCTCTCTCTCTCTCTTTTTTTTTTTTTGACAGGCAGAGTAGACAGTGAGAGAGAGAGACAGAGAGAAAGGTCTTCCTTTGCTGTTGGTTCACCCTCCAATGGCCACCACGGCCTGCGCGCTGCGGCCGGCGCACCACTCTGATCCGATGGCAGGAGCCAGGTGCTTCTCCTGGTCTCCCATGGGGTGCAGGGCCCAAGCACTTGGGGCATCCTCCACTGCACTCCCTGGCCACAGCAGAAAGCTGGGCTGGAAGAGGAGCAACCGGGACAGAATCCGGCACCCTGACTGGGACTAGAACCCTGTGTGCTGGCGCCGCTAGGTGGAGGATTAGCCTATTGAGCCGCGGCGCCGGCCCATCACATACATTTTTAAAGGCCCCTCCTATGCATGCCCACGTTACATGCATGTCCCCATTCATTCTAGGGGCAGCACACCCCTGTGAAATAGGTAGCATTATTTCCATTTTGCAGGTTGGGAATTTGAGGCTTGGGGCCAAGGAGCCGTTGACTAATGCTTTTTTATCACAACTGCTCCAGGTAGGCAGGGCCTTTGAAGAGCTGCCAGAGGAGAAGTTGCACTGGACTCCGTCATCTCTTGCCAACAGGAAATTCAAACGTCTAACTTCTGCTCCAGGCATTGGTCCAGCAGTTGAGATGCTCCTTGGAATGGCCACATCCCATACCAGAGTGTCCTGGGACAAGTCCTAACTCTTCTCTGGACCCCAGCTTCCTGTTAGTGCACAGCTTGGGAGGCAGCAGGTGATGGTTCAAGTAGCTACATCCCTGTTCACCTGGGCAACCTGGAGTGAGTTCCTGGCTCCCAAGTTCAGCTTTACTGTACCAGCCGCTGTAGGCATTTGGAGAGTGAGCCAGCTAATGGGAGATCTCTGTCTGTCTCTCTGCCTTTCAAATAAGTGAAATAAATAAATAAGAAAATTTTAAAAATCCAACTTCTAAAAACACCTTAAAACAAACAAACAAAAAACCACAAAACCCAGAATACCAGGAGCAAGTATTTGGGCTAGTGGATAAGATGCTGGCAACCTACATTGGTTGGAGTGCTTGGGTTGGATTCCCAGTTCTGGCTTCTGAATCCAATTTCTTGCCAATGTGGACCTTGGGAGGCAGTGGTAATGGCTCAGGCAATTGGATCCTTTCCACCCATGTGGGAAACCTGGACTGAACTCCTGGCCTGGTCCAGTCCCAGTCATTGTGGGCATTTGAAGGGTGAACCAGTGGATGACAGCTGTGTGTGTGTGTGTGGTGTGTGTGTGTGTGTGTGTGAAATAAATAATAAAATATAAAAATAAAATGGAGTACCAAATAAGTCATGGTGCTGTGTCCAACACACTTACTCCCTCCCTCCTTCCTTCTTCCCTTCCTTCTTTTTCTTCTTTCCTTCCGTGAGCTCCCCAAAAGGCCATTCCTGCCTGATGCACCATTTCTGGTTGTGTGAGTTGGAGCAGAAGTGTGAAGGCAGGGTGGACACTCCCTGAGAGTGGACAGGGAGGGCCGACTTGGAGGACACATGTAAGACACCTCCTTGAGACGCCCTGAAGTACTAGGGCACAGCTTTAGGGGGCTGGGATTCTATGTGGGAAGTGGGGGCAAGTACCACAGAAACATGGAGTACTGCTGGGATGCAAACAGCACAATGATTGAGAGTGTGCCCTTCGGTATCAGACACACATTTCTGTCAGTCCCGCTTCCACTATGTGGCTCTGTGACCTTTCCGATGGCCCTTCCTCTTCTCCAACATCATACATACCTTGTAAGGATTTTGTGGGATGGATGAGGGGACTTCCAGAAGTTTGTGGAAAAAATGGAATTAAACGATGTTTTATCTTGGTGCAAAACTTTTTGAAAACCATTCGGGTGGGCGCCGCAGCTCAATAGGCTAATCCTCTGCCTGCGGTGCCGGCATTCCGGGTTCTAGTCCCGGTCAGGGTGCCAGATTCTGTCCCAATTGCTCCTCTTCCAGCCCAGCTCTCTGCTGTGGCCAGGGAGTGCAGTGGAGGATGCCCCAAGTGCTTGGGCCCTGCACCCCATGGGAGACCAGGAGAAGCACGTGCCTCCTGGCTTTGGATCAGCGCGGTACGCCGGCCACAGCAGCCATTGGGGAGTGAACCAACGGAAGGAAGACCTTTCTCTCTGTCTCTCTCTCCCTCACTGTCCACTCTGCCTGTCGAAAACAAAGACAAAACAAAAAGAAAAAGAAAGAAAGAAAGAAAGAAAGAAAAGAAAACCTTTCAAACAAGGGTATTCAAAAAGTTCAAGGATAATGCATATTACAAGGAAACTATGCAGAGTTTTCAAATCTTGTATCAGAATATGCTTATTTTAAAATTCAAATTTTTAAAAAAATTTGAGAAGTGGAGAGACAGGGAGAGAGAGAGAGAAGGAACATGCTAGTTCAGTACTTAAATGCCTGCAGTGGCTGGGGCTTGGTGGGAGCTGAGCTGGGGTTAAAGCTAGG